TTAAAATCACCACTCTTTACACAAAGAATTGTACCTATTTCACTAGCAAGGACAAAGTGAGCTTCCTTTATTTAAATTTACAGCCAGCGCACAAATTGGGAAATATCATTACCTGATCCAAAATTAAAAAAATATTTTTTCCCCGCTGTTGTGACATTCCAATGTGACAGAAATCAATTTGAACCAAATGCTAGCTTTTTGACTTACATGTAATTAATTTTTTGTACATGAGCGAAATATTTCTAAATGCTGAAGAGTTTTATCTGCAGTAGGAATTGTTTTATTTTTTAAATTAATGCCCCTTCAATTAATGCATAGATAAAAGGCTATTTTTTGCATGTTAGTCATTTTTTTGGGTGTCAAACAGCTTGCTAGAAAAAAAAAAGCACACAATCATGGCCAAATGATCTGCAATTAGGTTTGCTTTCACTATGAAACAGGAACTGACTGGGAAATGGAAATCAACTGGAATCTGGGAACAGGGACACAGAGCAAATGGGTAAAAAAAAGGAGCAATCAGTAAACCGGAAGTACAGATACAACATGGTTTGATTTCATCCATTTGTCTTAAAGATGCAAAACTCAAACGTGGTAAACCAAACCCTTTATTCACACTAAAAAACTATTTGTCATTTTGTTTTCATATTTCCCCGAATACACCGTGTCGTAATCTGTAACTGAAAACTGTTCTATAATTAAGAGAAGGAAGTCCAAACATTTTTGTTTTCTTACTTTGCTACAATATAGCCAGCTTATATGCAACAAGTTGAGTGTTCCAATGTCGAAGATGTTCCACAAGTCAAATATAACAGCAGGACATTTAAAAAAAAATAGCATCAGAGGATCACTTGAATCCACAGAACCTTATGGTGAGAATGGAATAATTAGGCCAGCATTTTGTAATCTATGACTGCATTATAAGAATGAAGTACTGGTACAACACTTTCATTTTATAGTTACATTTTACCACTAACTTGACTAAGCATTGCAAATATTGATGGGTAATATTTTTTCACTACTAATTTGCATCTGTTCAATAAGATTTTTTAGGTGACGAGCCTTTCTTCTATGACGCATGATGATATAAGAACTATTGGAGCTTCCTATTATTAACATATATTTCTTATTCTATTTAGGTTGTGTAATTGAACATTGATGAGCTTGCAACTGTTTTTAGGGATCAGAAAAAAAAAAGATAAAAAATGTTTTAACATGTTTTATATTTACCTGTTCCCACCCGTTTTAATCTCTATGAAAGATTACACTGCATCACCATGGAAAGTATCAAATCCTAGGAATGATTTCACTAGATTTGTAAAAAAAAACAATTATGGAACTAATATTCAAATCAGGTTGATAAAATTACACCTTCAGCACTTTCACACAGATTAGAATTTTAATGGTTTCATCCACACAAAGGTATCTTGCCAATTGAAATACCTTTGTGAACATAAAACTGATTTAAAAACCGATGTGATTTCAGAGCTTCAGCCTGAGGTACTACAAAGTTCACACAAAACAATATCAGCACCTGCCTCTCATGGATAGAAAAACACAACACTTTGGAGTTGGTATCTTTTGCTGTTACTGGATATACAAAATGGGAGCTTCAGTAGTCTAGTATTTGTGAGAAAAACAGAAAATATTCATTGTGAAATACTGAATCAATACACCGCATGCACTCCTACCTTTCGAGTGCAAAACCCACTACCTGCTCAGTAAAAGCGCTGGCTAAAAAATTCAATACCAGTCTTTTCGTAAATTGGGAGCAGCACATTCATTTTCATAGAGCTGCCTCATTGAACGTACCTCAACAAGCAAGCAGCTTAGCTGCCAGGGCTGCCTTCTGAACGAATGGAAGTTAAGTTCCTCTCAAGATTTTTTTTTCTTAATCATCATCGAGCGCATTTCCAATAACCGAGTGCCTTGGCTTTGGAATCGTACTGGAATGTCATCTGGAAATTCTGACATGCATAAAAGGTTGGGGATGGCTTTAATTATGTTCGGACCGGAATCAAGCAATCTGATGCATCGCTCAGGGGTGCCTGCTGAGGAAATCATGAATGATAATGAGAGGCCTTCAAAAACTGCAGGTTCGGTTTTCTTCCTTGTCTTTTTTTTTTGTTAATTGGCAACGATGCAGGGAGCGAACTTTCACGGGTAGGTTTTGACTACTTCAAAATGGAGGGTACCGCCCTGTTGGATTGACATCATAGGCCTGCTGTGGATACAGCTGTATGCAGAACGGTGTGCAATTACACAACCGTCAGGAATGCCATTCTGCACTCTTGGAAGGCTGCCAGTGGCTTTCTCAAAATGTCATTGCAATCGAAATCCACAGTCTGCCACATCAATGTCAGTGTGCGACTCCTGCAACAGTCTGTGGTTGGATAAACTGCAGTTGTGGTGTCGCTGTTGTACACTACAAAGGGAAAAAAACAGCCAAATAGAGAATATCATTAAGATGTCATTTGGCCTGGGAATTGACAACTGACAATGCCAAAAAAAAAAAACTTGTCTACCGAAAAGAAAAAAGTTCAATATTAATAATGCCTATGCGTGAAAAATTTTGTAACAGGGTAATAAGCTTGTATTTCTTTGTTTTCCGTTTTCCCCCCAAATACTCTTTATAACCAGAATGTAACCAGCTTCCAATGTTGAGCAAAAATAAAAAAAGGTTGGTTTTGCACAAAATAATTTTAACTCCATTTGATCAAAGTGGGAGATATGTTTTTACATCATTTAAACAGTTTTTAGCCATGGCTAATATTCAAAGTTTTAGACATTCCATTTACTCATTTTGTAAAAAAAAGATACAATGCACGATCTTACAGATTTTACTTTTATTAAGAAAATTATATTATGGGATTTTCCAATTTATCTGTTATGCAGACATAGCCAGCTATTCTTTAGTTATGCTTAAATTGGTCCAGATACAATAAATATTCTGGACATAATATATTTAGCCCATATTTGTTACAAAAACAGAATTCCTGATGTCTACCTTAGCTTTAAGAAACTATTTCTGATGTAAAGTTAAATTCTTAATCAAGTCTCTTCATAAGCAAATGCAACAGTGAATATTCACAGATCTATGCCTGATCATAACAGTTGTTTTAGCATTTTTCCTTTGAACTAATCCTGTTAATAATGATGGTATCAGTTTACAATCCAATTAAACACATCTTGCATTAAAGTAACCGATATAGGGACCAATTGTGAAGGGCTGATCAAGTGCTAAAATAGTGTCATATTTATGGACTATTTCCATACAGCCACCTGCAGAGCACATCATTTCTCACCTTTATTTCTATTTTGCAGATAAGAGCAAAACAGCTCTGAAATTTTTCCTAGCTTTGTTGATGCTGCAGACAAAAGTAACAAACTACATTTCTTTAAATTTCTTGTGCTGCTAACTCAATATAAATCAGATAAAAATCATTAAAGAAATTAATGTATTACAAGGGAAGAGAAATGCATATTCATATTACCTAATGGAGTCCTGGGGGATAAATTTACTCCCCAACAAAAAGACTTCATAAATCATGAGAGCCCTAGGCAAGACGGAAAGTAGAGGCTCCTCATGGATTGATATAGCGCATTATCCTTCTAACACAATTTTCGTGAAAATTTAGAATACAAGTCAGTATGTACCCATTACACTAGTGTCACAATTAGTCATCAAAAAGGCCTCACAGCCACGTACTGTAGCTACTGTGACTTAGAATGGATGTGATGGGTGCAAATCGTTTTACCACTGGACAAAGGACAGCAGTAAAGGCCAGATGCCTTCTCTCCCATGTTATTTCTTACTGACCAGCTGTGTCATGTTCTCCGAAGACATGCACTGACTTAAGCTGAAGGAACCCAATACCTGAATACCTGTCAAGTAAGACATACTAATCTGATGAGATTTTTACATTGCTGGGTACAATATTGTAACACTGTAACGGTTTTTACCGTCATCAGAAGATCTATCTATCCCATGGTCAGAAAGCTTCCTATTCCTGAGAAGGGTCCCAGCAACCCAGCACTGATCACGAAAACATGGGGCGCAGGCAGGACCATGGCCTGGATGGGGTACCAGAATATCAGGATCCCAGTACAGCACAGACACAAGGACAAGTCACAGATGCCAATGCATTTGAGAGGTGGGAGGAAATCAAAGCATCCAGCAGCAAATGACAACACTCTTTTCGGCAATTTATCTTCTTGGGTTGAGGGGTAGGTTTTGCACAGATGAAAGCTGGGACGAAGACGGTTTTACTGGGAAAAAAAAAAGAGGAAACTACAGATTTCCTTACAGTTTCTTACTGAATTGTCAGAAGGCCAAATCAGAGGTTCCAAGAGGCAGAAAAGGAGCTATTTTCTAACCCTTCTACTCTGCTGTTCCTTTCCTAATACACAGCAGTCTGTCGCACATATAGCAGTTTTGTATGAACACAAGGAAAATAACCTTTGCAGACATCAAGCTGTAGAAGACTGAATAGGCCAGGTATTTTGACATCCTGTTACGGTAGTGTTTTAGAATAAACATCAGTGATCAGAATTTCAAAACAGGCTTCTCTGCTCAGAGCAAATACCCTGACAATATTGCGCAGCACTAAATTCAAACCTAAGCAAATCCACAACAGCAGAAAGAAAAAAAATGAAGACTGCAAACATGAAATGCAAACAGGGAATTAAAGTCATAAAGAGCTTTTTTTTTTCCGCCCCCTCAGACTTAACTGGTTGACACAGCGATCTGAAATAAGCTTTTATGAAATGTGATTGCAGCAAACGGCTGGTCTGAGAGCTGTCAAAACTCACCATCTCCCAAAGCAATTCTGTCAGCTTCTACAATGCAACTTACTGCTGTTAACAGCAGACCCTGCGGTGCACATTTTTCTCCCAGAGGCCTTCACATTCAGGCTTTCCAACTTCTTTAAACATTCCTTGCATTTCCCCCCACCTCAACATGCCCAAATGTGCTTCACTGACAAATGAACATTTTAACTTACCTGAACAATACAGCACTTCATCTTTTTTCCCTTCTATTGTCTCCGAGACCACGGATATCAATGCAAGCAGAATGCTACGCCGAATAAGAGACAATGCCATAACGGTTTCCTGTGGACAATAAGAGTTGCACAGCTTAGCAGAAAAACCACTTCTAATCATTTAGCATACACCCAGTTTATACAGTTTCTACTAAAAATGAAGCTGCATTTACAGCTATAAAGAATGGAATTTGTTTAATGTGATCCACTTTGTGCTAATTATGTGGTTTCACACATCCAGAAACGCAAATCTGACAAGCATCTTTTCCTTCTGATTAGCTCAAAGGCGGGAAATACAATGTCATATTAAATTCCACTTTATTCACAACAGAAATGAGGGAGAAATCAAACATAGGTGATGCCACCTGTTCTGGAACTCCACAGTTGCTTTGGAAACGTTAAGTGAAGTGCAGATCCACGTTAAAATGAAAAAAAAAACCCACCAAGCTCAAAATCAAGCATACCACCAACTCCAGTACTAACTTGGTCTTGAACATCATACAGGGCCTCATACAGATCAGTTGCAGGAAGGAGATACCACACAGACACAGAACTACTCACAGAAAAATGACTGGAGAGTGTGACCACTTTGTGCGTCACTCATTTTAATACAGCAGAGCTCTGTAATTAAGAGGGGTAATTTTTTTTAATGAGTCAATAACGCCTTATTTTTTTACACTTTTGACCACTCATAATTAATAGATTCCCACGAAAGGCAAAGGCCTTACAGTCTTGACAAGTGCACATTTCAAGCCCACGGCTGAGACTGCTATTATGTTGTTGGGAGAGTTCCTCACAGTGAGGCTTTGATTTTCACCCCCCCCGCCCATCTTCAAACAGAAGGTCAAAAAAAGCCATTTTAAACTGCAAGCTAACTGGAGCTTTCATGATACAAACTGCAATGTACAAAGCAGTGCAATGCAAAAAGCACATAGGATCAAGGGGTTAGCCAACAGAAAAACTAGACCCCATAGGCATTGTGGTGCATAAGTTTAATTTTTTACATGCAAATAAACAAAAAAAAAACAAATAATATCCAATCCACATTTGGCATTCGTTTTTTTGGAACAAATGCAAGAACACTGACGCAGGCTTTTAAAACGACAAATTAAATTGCATCACCGGCAACCTGGACGAAACTCCTGAACACCTCCAAACTCATAGAAAAGGCAATGCTATCTAACCTCCTCAGTCCCAATATCCATTTAAATGAAGAGAAGTAAGCATTTTGTAACAGTATATATTCCCCGTTTCAAATTCTGTTCTACTGGAATGCCTGCTACAGCACAGGACAAGGTTTAATAATACAGCATTTATTTTATTTATAGTTATCAAGTTTTTCTTGACATTTCTTTTAAAAATGAGCCATCCCCAACAGGGTCATTCTCAGCCACAGAAGAGAAGAATTAGAGAACAAGAAAAAAACAGGTGAAGGAAAAATAAAATATTCAAATAAAGTATGAAGTGAACTGTTAAGGCTAGTCATTGATAGACATACAGATAAATACATCAGTGCAACCAAGTGAAAATGATTTGCACTGACAGGGTACATTCAAACTAAATTTGGGCACACTGAAATGGTCAGTCATGCTCTAGGGCTTCTGCGTGTGAAATGTATATGGGTAATTTTAAAGGTTAGGGAGAGTTTAGTTAAACCCTAGAAACAGAAATTGTTAGCAGAGACGGAGACCACAAATAAAAACAGAAAACCAACTTATGTCAATTTTATAAACGGACTATTCAACAAATCTTGTTTCGAGCTTTCATAACCTACAACAATGCCTCACATTGCACTTTCCAAAATGTCTGTCTAGCGTCAGCAAACATTTCTTTTGATACTTTGATTTGTATCTCAGAACTAAGACAGAGTATGACAACCATGTTGCTCGATCTCTGCCACCTCTCAGCCCCAATGCCTCCATTATCAACAGCATCTTTGCTCTCTTCCTGAGGAAACTGAGACCTCAAGTTTCCTGCCATCTACCAAAAACTTCAGTGTATAACATTTCCATATCAAGGATATCCTTAAACTTGGCTGGAGTAAAATTGTGCAAAAAAATAAATAAAATAAAAACCCATATAATATCCACCTAAAATCTGACGAATGGGGAAAAAAAAAGTTCTTTTACGGGATGTTTTCAAATGCGAGACCTTCAACAGTCAGGTGTCACTATAGCCCTGATGCCCTTCGCAATTACCAAGTATCAGAGTATTTGGTATGTGTCTGCTGGGGAGGCAGCTGGTTGATTCAAGTTCAGACAAATCTGCCACCGGGCTGACTTAGCAGTCGTTTTAGGGCAAGGGTCCACAGGTGCACTGCACGCCAGCCTCCCCATTAGCACAGACGGATACACTGGCGCCACCAATTGAGCGCACACAACACAAGCACGCCAGATCTGCCGTCTCCGGGAGTGGAGGTCGTTCCTTTCTTGCCTGCTAATTAAGCGCCGGCTGCTGCTGCTTTCCCACACACACACACCCCCCCGTGTAAGTTTCCAAATCACCTTGTAGGTCATGTCTCATTACTGTCAGAGTTAATACGGGCTGGAGGCACTGTACTGAGCGGGATTCCTAGGTACGCGAACCAGCAGAACTTCGGGATCCCAAACAATGGCACGTTCCAGCCATCGCGTTCGGATTCCATTACACCTGGCTTCCAGTAGTATCTGATGCGGAAATAGCATGGTTTCTCAAACTATATTCTTCTTATCCGTTTTTTTTTTAAAATACGAATATCCCTATATAATCACTTTGTGCTAAAGAAACTTCATGAAAGCCACCCCCCAGTCTACAGCTCTTCAAAAAAAAGGTGTTTTTCGGTTCACTGCACAGCTCCCCTTGCATATGCGCGCATTTACCTACTTGCACTTTGTTAGAAAGCAAGCTTCTCCGTACTTACCCGGAAAATGCCGTTTGTGTGAATTTACGCTTATCGACGATATCAGCCTAACACTGCCGCACACCAGTTCCGAGTGAAAACGGAGAGGCTTCTTCTAGAAAGTGACTGGGTGTTAAAAAAAAGGCAACTACACCTGCTCGTCTTGTTCTGCGGGTATGAATGCGTGTAGAAAGGCGATTAGCTGGCACCTGGAAAAGCCACTACCTGATCTAAACTTGACACTTCATTCAACAATCCCTATTAAAGAACAACGCAGTGGAAGTAATTTTATACTGTACAGTGGGTTAGAGCTGCCAAATAATTGTAAGTGTCCGTCTAAACCTGGGTTGCCATTTTATATGTAATGTTACTGAATTATCTTTTGCTGTTCAACAAGAGCCCACTTCGGACACTAGTTCTGAGAATAATCCTGCAGTAGCTACACATGATTCGGCTGGTATTTGCTGTATCCCCCCCTCCAAAGAAACGTGGATTCTGTGAGCACACAGGTGTTCATCTTACCTGTCTTATGAACAACTGTCTTGAGTCTGAACAAGAAGAATAAGGACACAAAAACTTTTCACTGCGTGGAAAAAAAAAATGTTTGCGAACAGGATAAACAAAGGCAGTTTTTTTGTTTGTTTTTCAGACACACCACACAGAGAGAGAGGCGAACAGTGTTTCTTTTCCGCCTCCTTCCTTTTTATATGTTTGGAGGGAGATATTAACTCTTGCATCAGTGGCATATCACTCAACAGAGAGACAGTGACCACTACGTGCTTGGCTGTCGCGTTGCCACGATGCGCGAGGAAGCCAGTGGCAGGCGAGACTGACAGCCCCCTGAGCCAATAGGACTGTAAGAGCGGGGGGGGCAGCGGACCAATGACCGGGAGCAGCGGAGCACGCCGAAGGCCCGGATGCGGCAGTGAGCGGCTTCAATTCCTACTGGCGCTGCAGGTTAGAGATCGAGCGCAGTCGTGGTCGCTTCGTTCGTGTTGGAAGTCATGAAGGGAAATATGCCCGTCGGTGGCGCAAAGCGTTTTGTCCCCCCCCCCCGTTGTGCAAAACCAAAGGGCAAAGACATGCATAAGGTTGTCCAATTTAATTGTTAAAAAGTCGGTAACGTGTACTAATGTACCCCGCGTTGTGTATCCACAATTGTACAATATGATACACACGTAATCATGTTACAGTGGATTGAATTGCTTTATTATCTACATTGGGCTAAAGAGCAAACATTTCTTTCCATACAGTTTCTTAAACGTGACTTTGATTTACAACCGCTTATACAAGAAAAGGTGCCGGATATGTATGAAAAACGTGAACCCTGGCCTTGCTGTTCTCAAGCCGAAGAGAACTTCCTGCCTTAACGGTATGGAGTGGCGTAATGATGTTTGCTAGTTCAGTACTGGAAAAAGAAATAGTTTTAATTCATAGTTCATATTTAATTCATGTGAGCAGAATAAATAAGCATATTTATACAATTTTCTCAATTCTTTTGCAGAAAGAGCTAGACATCTATGAGATTGAACCCACACTATGTTGAAACCTTTTCAGCAGAATCTGTAAGAAAATTGATGTCTTCACTAATATAAATCTATTAACTGTAGATTTAATTCAGTGTCCACAAGCAACATTATTTTAAATACCCATTTTGGGAATACAGGAGGATCACTTTTTCATTATTTTAATTGAGGAAAAATCCCCTTAATATTTCCCTCAAATGTTGCTGAATAACCATCTCAGGTATAGCCAGGCAGTGTAATTGGGAAATAGTTTTTTTGAACAGTGAGGTCTAGCAAATGAGAAGGCCTTTAAACTGCTGCTTCTTCAAGGCCAAGAACTTAAGGGCGGACAATGCACAGCTGTCTTTCATTGTCACCTCGATTGCATTCCTAGTGCTGTTGCTGTACCTCTGTCTCTAGTCTAGGATCTAAAGTTATTTAGATGCACAACTTTCTTTTCCACAAATACTTTGTGTCTAGGTTTCTCCTTAATTCCTGTAATGATGAAATTAAATGAAAAAGAAATCAAACTCTGTACGGTGTGTTTTGTTTGTGTGGTAACACGCAGTGCATGTTTCCATGGGCTAGCTTCTTTTAGGTGTGGAGATAAGGATCGTGGAGGGTATCTACTTGTCTGAGATCAGGGTCTGTTTGTTCAAGCATTTGATCTCCCTTTTGTTCACCGGCAGGAAATCAATGAGAAGATTAAAGCACCTGAAAGTTCGAGGTTACTTTTGCAGCAGGAATGCAAACTTCACCTCATTTAGAGACCTGAAAAACCCATTAAAGCTGAACTGCAGTGGCATCTGTATGATATTGATTTATAACAATGCTACAGTGTGTTTGATCACCATCCATCCTTGAATGATGCGTGATAGTTTGTGATAATAAGAGCATTAGACAGGGATTGTTGTATTCTAAGACGTTGTTTTCAAAGATTTGCTACTGTTGCAACAATATTTGGCAATATCAGTGTTTAAATAATACATTTTCAAAGAGTCACAGAAAAGACAGTAAAAAGTAGAAGTGAATGCCACATCAAAGATAGGAGAAAAATACTTTCCTTCATGAACAGCACAGTATTTGGAAAAATGCGTAACATCTTGTGACAAAGGCCCATGCAATTACAAGCAGAAAATGTTTTGATCATGTCATGTCAAATCATACGTCGATGGAGCTGTTCTACTCATTCATGTCTTCTGCATTCTCACTGCAACACCGGCTGGCACAGGTTAAACAACAAAAAAAAGGATTCTACAAATGCCCTAAAAGATCCACCATTTTCATCGGCGTTGCCCCCAAATCATTATTTCATTTGAGGAATCAACACGGAATCGGTAGCCTCTTCCGGAAATTGTGCCGCATTCCTCTCCACGAGTTCTTGGAAGTAAAACGAGCCCGTTCCATGCAGGCTTGGATTTAAAAGAAAAAAAAACTGCCTTCCAGCTGCTAACTGCAAATTCTACTAAAGAACCAGCTGTTAAGTTGTTAATATTTTATAACCCAATCTTTTCTCCTGTCTTTTATCTTAATGAATATTAATAAGCATTATGTTAATAGGTATCCCCAGAATACTGTAGTAAGGCATGTAAACAGCTCTTCTGTCACAGGAAAGTTACAGCTGGTACACAATAAGAAGACATCAATGTGTAGATAAACTAATTGAGTCATAAGAAATGAAATGAAAACTGTATGTCTGCCTTTAAGTTGTCCCGTATCATTTTTGACATTTTTAAAGCTGTTTGTGATGTTTGTGGTTTGAAGACCACTTCCATGTGCTGGCAGCTTTTAGAAAATAGAAACAGTTTCCAAACACACACTGGCCCTTATAATGGTTATTAATCACACAAGGCGTGATGACCTTTGATTGAAAGGGCTGCCTGTGCTGTCTGCTTTTCCTGCCATTATATTCCTGCATCATTGCTTGCATATGTGGATGTGCGTATTGATTTTCCTGATGTTATTCAGGTTTTGCCAACTATCTACATTTTATATTTTAATTTATAGAGCACACAATGGTATACACTATAATCAAACCTATTTGCTGTTGTTGTCAACTTCATTTCACTGTATGTAGTTCTGAAATATGATATCCTTCTTAATTATGTCTGTTTATATTTAATCTTATAAATTGACTGGGGAACAGAGACCAAGCCTACTTACCTGATCTATTTAAGGAACGTTTGCTGACAAACCTTTGGATTTTCCCAGACTATTGGAATGTGTATCTTAAAGTGTCTTTTGATACCACACGTTTTATTTCAGCACTATCCTGACTTCAATAATTGGAAAATAAACACCGTTTTAGTCAAAGGTTTTTTTTTAAATAAAATACACCAAAAATACAAAATAACATTTAATGAAATGTGTTATCCGGATGACAGATTTGGATGTCCCCAGGATGTAAATGATGCTGTCCAACATCTGGGTTCTGCAGGCTATAGTTCAAAAAGATAATCTAAACCCATTTGCAGCATGTTATGTTGTGTCCACATGAATCATAATTGTACATTAACCACAAGAAACAGGCACAATACCTGAAATATAACAAATCGACAAATAAATTGCGATATACAGTAAAGGAATTATTGATGTAGCTGTAGTAAAAACACATTGAGAATTCAGAAAACCATTTTTTGTTAAATAATATAGAATAAGTAGGGTTTGGATCTTAACAGGGCAATACACGAGCGACTCATTGTATTCTTAAGTTGTTCGATGTTGTCACTATCACCACAGTGTTTTTTTTAGTCTGACCTCATGATTTAAAACAGTAACAAACTGATTTAATGTTGCATACGGGGTTATAGGTAGTGGACTGCATTCTTAAGCGATACATTTGTTACAAACACCCTGTTACATTCTTCATACCTTTAACCACTTACTTCAGCAAACATTTCTCTGAACTGAAAGAGAAAAGACGTATATTTAAATAAATAACTTCCAACATCATAGTTTATCCATGTAATGCAATTCATATTTCATTATACATGAAATACCTTTAATAGTACATTCCAAAATAACATGCTACTTCTTACACCTCATTGCACTCCGTTTTGTTCTTGATACACACAAGTGTAAAGGTATTTAAATATAAAAGAAAAAATACAGTCACTGCC